AGATGAGAAGAAAAAATTAAAAAAGGAAACTAGAAATGTCCATGTACCATTAAGGTCGCAAATAAAAGTGAAAAAGAAAGAAAAAAAATCATGATAAAAGTTAGAGGATTCTTTCTGTTAGAGCTCAGAATTCTCTTCTCTTCTCAGCAGTTTTAGGTGGAGCGCGAGGCTCTTCCTCTGCGGCTGCATGGAGGGGGAGAGGTGATCCTGGGGGAGGCCCTGGGGGCTCTGGAGCTGTTTAAGCAGCGCCCTTCCTGCACCCACTGCCTGCTGGTCCTTGCAGGAAGACTCTCCCCAGGGACCTCCCCTGGCTTCCCTCATATGGTGGGGAGCCAATTCTTAGTCCCCTACATCAGCTGCAGACCCCACGTTCCTGGCCTTGGGTTCAGTCTCCAAACAACCTCCTCCCCCCACACCCTTCTGAGTTCCTGGCCAGCTGCGTCTCTCCCAGCTGCCCCTGAGCCAGGCTGGAGGGGGCGGGTGGAGCCAGGTGGGTTTCTGCGACCAGGTGTCCCCTGGGCACACCCCTGTCCACGTTTGGCTTTCCCTGGTCAGTCAAGCACACTCTGTCGTGCGGCGTGGTTCCTGGGCTTGGATTTGTGGCCAAACTCGGATTTGCCAGGAATCTGCTTCCTCAGCTGCCGGCCCCTGAGCTGCAGCTGAAAATTGTCCCTTCCTTTGTCTTCCACACGCCATTGGAGAGGTGGCGGCTTCTTTCCCCACACTCAGTACCTGGGCTTCCTGCAGCCCAGCCTTCAGCAATGCCCTTGGTCTCTAAATGCTCCGTCCCCAACATGCCTCGGGCCTCTCAAAAATGCACATTCTGAACGTTCCTTTAATTCCCTTCCCTCCACTGTGCTCCCAGCCCCACAGGGGACTGCTCAGCTGGAGCCTCTGGCCGGGCTGTGGCAGTGGCTGTGTGGCTGGGGAGTTGTATTTTATCCGGCCTCCTGTCCCTGGTCTGCTTTGAATGTCCAATTATAGGTTCCAGGAAAGCCTCCCCTTTTTTGCTCACCACCTTGTGGAGAAGCTACCTGTCTGCTTTCTTGACTTCCTGCCCTGGGGCAGCCAGGACCGTCTCCTCCTCTACTCCGCCATCTTGAATCTCCTCCTCTTCCCCTTTCAAGAACCAGATCAGACCACCCGGGGTGCTCAGAATCGTCTCCCTGCCCAGGTGTGGATCAGAGGCCAAGACTGTCTGCCCCTTTAATTCCCCTCTGCCACGTATCTTGACATGTACATCGGCTCTGGGCATCAGAAAGTGACATCTCTTCAATACTGAGACTTCGACTCCATGAACATGGTCTATCTTTTTCTTCATTTAGGTCTTCCCCTGTGGCTCTCACTAAAGATTCTATGGAGGGCTTGAGTACTTTCGGTTTGATTTAATCCTAGGTACTTTATTTTTTTGGACATTATGCTTATTAAGAGTTGTTTATTATCAGTAGTAGTTGGTAGTAGTTAGTAGTAGTAGTAGTAGTACTAGGGATAGACCCAGGGTCTCATGCCTACTAAGCAAGTGCTCTACCACCGAGATACATCCACAGCTTTTTATTTTGAGATGGGAACTTGCTAAGTTACCCAAGCTTGGCTTGTACTTGTGATCCTCCTGCCTCAGCCTCCTGAATAACTGGATTGCAGGTGCAGGCCACTATGCAGGGCTCTTTTTCGTTCTTGGGTGTTTGGCAGAGTTTTACCAGCAGAGCCATCCAGACGCAGAATTTTGAGTACATTTTGTTTTTGTAGTTATAGGGCTATTCCAATTTTAAATTTAATTTGATCAGTTTTTCCTTCTAGAAATCATACAGGTTAACTAAAAATTTCACATTTGTCAGTGTTAACTGTTTCATAATATCCTTTAATTTAGGTGTCCTCTATTGTATCAAGGGAATTAGAAAAAGACATCCTTCTCTAGAATGAAACTGGGATTGGCAAACAGTGAATGCCCCCCAACCCAGGCATCGTCCCTGCTTGGATCATTTTAATGGGGACAGAACCCAGGGCCTCTTGCATGCTAAACACACGCTCTACCCCTGAGTCACACCGCAGCCTTTTAGTGTCTTTATAGTGGGAGTGACCTTTTCTTAGATCTGAGCTACATCCCCAGCCCTTTTTGAGTCTGGGTCTTGCTAAGTTGCTGATGCTGGCCTCACACTTGCAATCCCCCTGCCTCAGCAGCTGAGATCACTGCCACCTTCTTTGGTGCTGAGGATTGAACCCAGGGCCTCGGATGTACTAGGCGAGTGCTCTACTGCTGAGCCACAACCCCAGCCCCCCTTAGTTCATTTTTTAAACCTTTCTATGTTATTCTTTTTGTGTCACCTTTTTTTTTTAATGTTATTTGTGACTTCTAAAAAGCAATCATTGGGGGCTGGGGCTGTGGCTCAGTGGAGCGCACTTGCCCAACGTGTGAGGCACTGGGTTCCATCCTCAGCACCACATAAAAAATAACAAAATAAAGATGTGTCTACCTACAATTAATAATATCAAAAGAACAGCAATCAGGGTTTTCCTCTGAACCTTTGGAAGTCACAGTTCTGCTTTGATCATTTTAGTGACTCCCTTACAAGTTTAAATGCATGCTTAGCCAATGGGTGGCACCGTCCTGTAACCTCAGCTGCGGGGCAGGCTGAGGCCCGGGATCACAAGTTTGAGGCAACTTGGGCAATTAGCAAGTCCCTGTCTCAAAATACAATAAAAAGGGCTGGGAGTGCAGCTCAGTGGTAAGCACCCCCGAGTTCAGCCCCTGGCCCCCACCCCGACTCACAAGTGCATCCTGGAGTGTCGACCAGCTCTCCATCCTTGTAACAAACACCCGAGAAGATGAACTTATCAAGAGGAAGAGCCTGTTCCAGCTCCTGGTTTCAGTCCACGGTTGCTTGGACACATGGCCGGGGTGCGGTGGCCTCTGGTGGGAGTCCACGGTGGAGGAGGCCACTCCCCTCAGCCTCCAGGAAGGAAAGAGGGGGAGAGGGCCTGGTGCCCAGTGACCACCTCCCCACTGGACTCCACTTCCTAAAGGTCCTTCCACCTCCCAGGAGCACCACAGCAAGTGACCGAGACTTCAGCAAGGGGCCTGGGGGACAGTTAAGATGCCCAGTGGGCACACTAACTCAACACAGGGATCTAGTCCTCTCCCTCCAGGCAGTGTTTGGCTGTGAGGCCCCGACAGCTCCTGGAATGGGGGTCCCCGGAGGTGGGGTGACCAGATCCTGAGCCGTGGCCCAGGGGGTCCACCCTGGGGTGAATGGCTGACGGGGTAACTGGGGCAGGGTGTGCGGGGAGGAGGCGGCTCCCTGGGGGGTGCCCTGGAGGGTGGTTCTTCCCTTGGGCCTCTCCCTCCTTTCTGCTTCCCGACCCTGCCACGAGGGGGTAGCTGTCCTCCGCTGTCCCTTCTGCCATGACGTCTGCCTCCCCCGGGGCCAGAGCATGGAGTGGCCCTCGGTGGAGGTGACTCTGGGACCACGAGCCCCAAGTAAACGCTTTTTTTAGTATTTCTTAGTTGTGGGTGGTCACCGTACCTGTATTTTGATTCTATCTTTATGTGGTGCCAGGGATGGAACCCAGGGCCTGCACACGCTGAGCCACCTGGCCCCTGAACTTTCCCTCCTGAGTTTTCCTTGTCGGGTGTTTTGGTCACAGTGATGCAAAGGCCGCCTGGGAGCCCTCCTCCCAGACCAGCTGGGGCCTGGGTCAAGTCCACCCCCTGCTGGCCCTCTCTGGTTCCATCTGATCCCGTCACACTTCCTGGAAACACCGTCATTTAGGCCCTGTTTTCGGGGTCCACTCCTTTGCTTTTTCTTCTTCTCACATCTTTTCCTTCCACCAGGATCAGGACTGTCCCTGGTGGAGTCTGGCTGGCAGGCGCGTCCAGCGCGTCCTGACGTGCCTTCTAGTGTAGGTGGCGGTTGCAAAGTCACTCAGCTGTCTCCTGGCTTCCTTTGAAGAGCAGGCTATGGCCCCACTTCTCCCCGGCTGCCCTCTAAGTATTTCCCCAGGGTGACACCCGCGGAGCCGGCATCCAGGGGACAAGGTTACACCCGACACTCGCAGTCTGACTGGGCTGCTGTGGCACCGCCACAGGACAGAAGTGTATTTTGCTCAGTCCTGGGAGCTAAGAAATCTAAGATCAAGGTGCGGCACCGGGTGCCACCGGGTCTCCCTGCTGCGTCTCACCTGGCGGAAGGCGAGGGCAGGGGGCAGAACTCCCTCCACCAGCCCTTTATGACGCGGGAGGAGTCCCAGGACCTGGACTCCTCAAGGCCCAGCCTCCTTTGGTCTCCCCTCCCAGAACAGGGGGTTGAACCCAGAGTCATCTACCATGGAGCCACATTCTCACCCTTTTTGTTTTTTATTTTGGACTTGAATCTGCGATCCTCCGGCCTCAGGCCTCGGCCTCTCGGGTAGCTGGGGCCACAGGGGTGTGCCCGAGCCCGGTGTAGGGCACAACTTCTAAGGCTGTCACATGGCCATTAAGGCTCGACACCTGGATTTTGGAGGAGACACATGCAAACCCCAGCAGTTTTTCTAATTTTCACTTCACTATACTTTCCTCTTCATCACCTGGTAGTTTAGAAGTGTGCTTTTAAAATCTCTTATATTAGGAAATACTTTTTTTTCTTTGTTGAACTCATTTCTGTTGAGAATCCCCTAGAAAGTGTGGATCCTAATAATTATTAGAAGGTGGGATTACACACCTGTAATCCCAGCAATTTGGGAGGCTGAGGCAGGAGGATTGAAGGTTCAAGGCCAGGCCAGGCACGGTGGTGCTCGCCTGTAATCCCAATGGCTCGGGACGCGGACGCAGGAGGATGGCGAGTTCAACGTCAGCCTCAGCAGCTGAGCAAGGCCGTAAGCAACTCAGTGAGACCCTGTCTCTAAATAAAATATAAAAAGGGCTGAGGATGGGGCTCAGTGATTAAGCGCCCCTGGGTTCAATCTCTGGTACCAAAAAAATAAACTTCAAGGCCAGCCTCAGCAATTTAATGAGATCTTGTCTTAAAATATAAAAGAAGGCTGAGGGTTCAGCTCAGCAATAAAGCATCCCTGGGTACCTTTCCCCGTTGCTGAAAAATAAGTAATGCTTGGGCTTTGTGGGAGCTTTGGGGGGTCTGGGACATCGACTGCCCCCCACGTAAGGTCTCTTCTGTCTGATATTTATGTAACTAAAGGCTTTTCTTTTGGTATCTTTTAACGTCTTTATGCTCTTCCTGTCAGTGCCTTCAGGGGTGTGTCTATAGACGATGCAGCTGGATTTTGAACTTGGTGGCATGAGCCCCTCCCTAGCAGCTCCGGCTCTCCGACACCTGGACTTATTTCTGTGATCTTATTCTGTGCTTCTAACGATGGGGGACAGGGTATCCCAAAGTATTAGCGTAGCTGTTGTTTTCTTGGGGTGCTGGGGACGAAGCCCCCGGCCTTACTGGTGCTGGGGAGCCTCCCCACCCCATTGCGTGGCATCCCCGCCCACTTGGTGCCCTCTGGGGACCACCTATTATTGTGAAAGTGACAGAACACCCCGTGTTTGTTCTCCCAGCACCGTCTGGGGGCTACAGTGAACACGCAGCCTCTTTACACTTTAAATCCCCCTCCTCCCAATCAGCCCAGAGCCCTTGGAAGGCGCTCAGCAGTCACCTGCCCCTTTCCGTGTGCCTCCACAGTCACTGGGGCCTGACGTCACTGGGACAGCATCAGTCACCAACGGCTGCTGTTCAGTGCTTGATGCGGTCTCACCGCTCTTTCTCTTTAAGGGTCTTTTATGGGGTGAACGTTGGGCATGGAGTTCTAGGTTGTTCTTCTCTTGCCAGTTTGAGACGCCTCCTCCCACCTGTGCGCTCTCCTCCTGACTTGCCTAAGGGGCAGCCCTGCTGGGGCCTGCTCTGTCTCCCTGCTCTCCGAGGTGCAGATGTTCTGCATTTGGACAGTGACTGTTTTTTCTTTTGGGCACAGTGCGGGGGCTGGCAGCCGGGGCTCTGCACGGGCCAGGCAAGTGCTCTGCCGCTGAGCCACAGGGCGGCCCCCGTCCCCTCCCCTCACCCATTTCTGCGTCTCTGCAGTGGGGGGTTTCAGGTCCATGGAGACTGGAGCCCCACCTGCTGGGCACCATTTCCTGGGCCACGGGGCTCTGCAGAGTGTGGCTGGCAAGAGCCCAAGCTGCAGTTCCGCCCCCCACGGTGGGTGAGAGTAGGGTCCTCTGCAGAGAGGCCCTAGGGTGGCTGCTGTGGGCCTGGGCCTGGGCCTGGGCCTGGGGGGACAGAAGACTCTGCCGCAGGCCCCTTTCCCACTACAAACCAGGCGTGATCCTCAGCCTGTGGTGCCCCTTGGCACCCCTGGCGCTTGGTGAGGTTCCTGGGCCCAGCCCCGGACTCTGCTCTGGCAGGCTGGTGGGCCCCGAGCCTGGTGTCCAGAGGGCGGTGGGCTGCTGGCCGCTGGCACGAGGACTGCACTCCAAGGCGTCACCAAGGGCGGGGCAGCTTGTGGCCCCTGGAGGCTGAAGGCATCCCTTAAGGGCAGAGGAGAACAGCCCGAGGGCCTCCTGGTGGCCTCAGGCCCAGGGGCAGCCCAGTGTCCAGGGAAGGGGGTGCATGTCCCGACAGCCTGTTCCTGTTTCTCAGCTGGGGGCTGAGGGGAGGTGCTAGGGGACAGCAGGCCTCATGGGGCCACACAGAAGGTCAGTGACAGCCAGGCGGGCCCCACGCCTGCCGTGGTGGCCACGGAGCAGCGCCTACCCCGCTGCATCCTAGAGAAGGCGGGAGGTGGGTGCAGCGATGGCATTTAATGCAGCTGTGACAAGCACGGTAGGCGGGCAGGGCCGGGCGGGGCTGGTGACCGCCCACCCTCTAGGTGTCCTAGAGCGTCCTCCCCTTTGGGGAAACACTGATCCGGCTGAGGGACAGCACCTTGAGGTCTGGGTGACCCTGGGACGGTGCCACCAGGGAGGCTCTGAGCCCAGGCCAGGGACCCCCGAGAGGCAGCCGCTGAGGGCAGCAGGCCATCGCCATCGTGGGAGGGGGCTGCGGGCGGTGGCGAGGCCGCCCCGGAGAGCTGCCCTGAGGAGGACGGCGGGCACAGGAGCAGCAAGAAACGCACAAAGCCGAGCTCCGGGAACAGCGATAAACAACGTCTTCAACAAAACGGCAACAAAACGATGTCCCTGCTGCCGGGCGCTGCCCTGGGAGGCAGGGAGCGGAGCCGCGGGCAGCTGGCTCGGGTGAGCCAGGCCCCGGCAGCTGGGGCGGACAGCACGGAGGCTGTCATGTACCTCTAGCGGGGCGACCTCACGTCCTTCCCTGGACTTCAGGGGACAAAGAGACAGGACTCCTGAGGGGCCAGACTCTTTGGGAAAAGGTCTTCCGAGGTGAGTGTCCATGGCAGAGCAGGTGGCCTGCAGAGGGAGGGAGGTCCCTGGGCAGAGGCCAGGGTGGCGGCCAGGGCCTGGGGGGTGGCCCTCCTCATCTGGCGGGCTTGGCAGGTACGACCTGGTGCTCCCACCAGGAACCCCGAGGCCGGCAGGGCCGGGGTGTTGGCTGTGGTGGCCCCTCACTGGGTCCGGAGCTGGTAATCTAGGAGACAAGAGGGAGGCGTCCACCCTCGGCTGCGTCCCCAGGGCCCCGCCCCCACCCGGGGCTGCCTGGCGACCCCTTGGCACCCCCAGGCAGGGCCCGCTCACCTCCATTCTGGGTGATGTAGCGGACCCAGGGCAGCGCCTGGTAGCCGCTCTTCTCGATGATCTTCAGGTAGCGCACCTGGGACACGGGACCAGAGCTGAGTATATGCATGGCCCTCTCCTCGCGCCCCGACCCTCCTCCCGCTGGCGGGGAGGCCGTGAGGGGGGCAACACGGGCCCCAGGAGGCCGAGGTGAGCGTCGGAGCCCTGGGTGCAGGAGGCCCAGAGCCAGGCTGTGCGCCGGGCAGCTGCCTCCTGGACAAGAGGCCGCCCAGACGCTGTGACCCTCAGCTGCCCGTGCGCTTTCTGAGGGGAGCCTGCCATGCTGCGTGCTGCAGGGCGGGGTGCAGGCCTCTCCCTGGTGGGGCTGGGCCCGGGGAGCAGAGCCTCCTGTGCCCACGGCAGGCTGAGCGGCAGCCCTCTCCCGCTGGTCATGCCGAGTCCACTGCGTGTGGCCTGCGCTCGCTGACACCCAGTCCCTGCGGCCCCGCGGCGGCCCACGTACCTGGATGCCTGAGGTAGTGAAGTAGGGGATCTCGAACTTGACGCTGATGGGGGGCTTGCCCTCCTTGTCCTCGGCCTCCACGCTGGGCAGGCCGAAGTGGGCCCGCATCAGGTACTCCTTGCCGCCCTGGGCAGGGGGGACAGTCAGCCAGCGCCGTCACAGCAGCCCACGCTGCGCTGGCCCCGGGACCCCGCCTGTCTGCTGGGGTTGCCCAGCGCCCCACTTTCCCTGCCGGCCTGTCCTCCATGCCTGACGTCTGCCCCCACGGGCCCCAGTGGGAAGCCAGAGCCACTCTGAGGAAAGGCAGTGAGTTCTCAGAAGGAAAATGGCTTCAGAAGGTTCAGGAAGAGGAGACGAGTTGCCACGGATGCCACCAAGACAGCGTGGCCTTGGGGGGAGCAGGGGACTGTGCAGAAGGCACTAGCAGGGGCTGGGGGACAGGCCACCTGCCAGCCTGAGGTCTAAGGGACAGCCACGTGCCCAACGTCAGGGCAGAATGGGAAAGGGACAAGTCAAGAAGCCTGTGGACAGGAGAGGTGACAAGCAGGACCCCAGGGACAGTGCTGACCGAGGGCTGGCCCAGGTCCTGCTCCCCAAGGGTTGGGAGGCAGCAGCCTCAGGCGCAGGAGTGAGCAGCCACTCCAGAGGGGGGCCGGCATGACCCTCTCCTTGCCCTGGCCACTCTGGGACCCCACAGTCAGAGGCCTGACCAAGGCTCAGCAGGGGTCACTGCCTGTTCGGCCCCAGAGGGGGCGCGTCCTCCAGCCTCAGCTCCCTCCTAGACGTCCGCCCATCCCCCCAGGCCAGGGAGACAGCGGCCTGAGTGGCGAGTGCGGCCAGGAAGCAGGAGGGCAGCTGGACAGCCGCGGCGGACAGCGGCTGCAGGAGGGGAGCCCACCTGTCGCCTGGATGCCACCCGCCCAACCAGACCCACACCCACACTGCGCCCTGGGACCAAAGGGAGCAGGCAGGAAAAGGGACACTGGGAAGGGGTCCCCAAAACGGCGGGTCCCCAGCTTCATCCCCCCTCAGTGGGGAGGACTGCAGACTGACTCAAGCCAGAATGAGAAGCCACGAGAGGAAGAGGAGGCCACTGATGTCCCAGCAGGGGACCTGGGCAAGAACGTTCCCTGCAGAGGGGGACAGGCCACCACTGCACGGCCCCAGGCCTAGACTCCCAGGGGAGACAAAGCAGTTCCTGTGAACCTAACGGCGTGGCAGCCACTTCCACAGAGCAGAGGGGACGAGACGGGCACCTGCCGTAGGGAGGCACCAGCTGGGGCCCCGGCCCTCGTCCAGGTGGACGGCGCTGCGCTGAGGGCTGTGGACGAGGCCCTCTCCTCTTCCCTCAGTCCATGAAGGGCAGCACAGGGCTCACTGTGGCGCACCTCCACCTACAGGGCAGGGACACGGGAAGAGAAGCCTCCCTCCGCCTGCGTCAGGAAGTTAGAAGACAAAACAAAACCACCTCTATCTGAAGACATTATTTTAGAAAATAATGTAAAGTATTACAAGCCAGAATCACAGCGTAGACACCTGTATAAAAACAAGCTTTAAAACAAAAATAAGTGAATTGAACATGTGACTCAGACAAAAAAAGACTCGGGGCTGGGGATGGAGCTCAGTGGGAGAGTGTGGGCCATTCCTGGTCCCCCCCAGGAATGCAAAAAATGAGATAAAATAAAATTAATTTAAAGACTTAAAAAATACGAAAGGAAAACAAACAATAAAGTCAAAAACAAATCTGGAAAAAAAAATAAACAGACAAACCACTAGGTAACCTTACCCCCCCCCCCAGAAAAAAGGTAGTCAAAAATACACAAAACAAGAAATAAAGGAAGCCATGTGCGGTGGCTCACACCTGTAGTCCCAGCAGCTGGGAGGCTGAGGCAGGAGGATCGAGAGTTCAAAGCCAGCCTCAGCAAAATTGAGGCCCTAAGCCACTCAGTGACGCCCTGGCTCTAGATAAAATACAAAATAGGGCTGGGGATGTGGCTCAGTGGCTGAGCGCCCCCGAGTTCAATCCCTGGTATCAAAAACCAAACTAAAACAGGCCCACGTGGCTCGGGGACAGGACAGCTCGGCCTCATCGAGGCGTTACTCTTCCCCCTTAACAGCAGCCTCGTGCAGACCCGTGGGTTCCAATGCTTGGGAGGAAAAGGAGGCCCGTGAAGGCTGCCGGGAGGTCAGTGGAGGGAAGCGCCCAGGGCGTGGGGCCGTCAGGCGGGCAGTGCGCCAGATGTGAAAACAGAATGAAGCGCTGGTTCAGACAGCGCCTCCCTGCACGGATGGACAGACTAGAGGAAGTTCAGAAAGAGACCCACTGCCACGTGAAAATCTGGACCTGGTGAACACGGCATCTCAAACCGTGGGAAGACAGACTCTTTAGTAAATGACTAAAGGAACCTGAATGGACCTCTGGACAGAGAACGTGGGCTCTGTGTCTCCTCCCGTGTACCAGGCCGAGCTCCCAGGGGACTCAGACATGCCACCGATGGGCTCTGGAGGCAAAGGTGGGTGAATTCCTCTGTGTTGGGAACGGGGAGGCTTCCAAAGCATGACTTAAAATCCAGACACAACACAAGGAAAAGACAGACATGTGACGACGTTAAACCACAATGTTAACAATGAAACAAGGACACAATCAGCAGAAGATGCCAGAAACCAAGTCCAAAGTGAACCATACACCACTTACACCAACGAAAAGGTCCCCATCCAGCCTATATGTAAAGAACACTTGGAAACCAAGAAAAGGACCCAACCTTCCAAAAAAAATTGAGCAAGAGACAGCTAGTTTCCAGAAAAAGAAATGCAAATGGCCCTTAGTCACAAGAAAAGCACTGCTGATAACAGGAGAAGAGCAAGTCACAGTGGCACGGCCACAGTCCCCTCTCTCTGCTCAGAAGTCTGAAAGCTTGACAGCAACTCTGGTGCTGCCCTCCCTGGGGAATCGCTGCAGGCTTCGACCCACCTTCCTTGAAGCCACACTCCCAGGACACAGGATGACACAGGCACAAGGTTAACCGCTGAAGTGTCTCTAAAGCCAAAGATCTTAAACAACGCAGTGGCCTGCAGTGGGGGATGGTGACTGGTGACCCCAATAAGTAAGTGCAGATACAAAAACTGGGAGCTGAAGGGCAACACCATCTTGAGAGAGGAGGAGGAGCCAGGAGGTGCCCTTCCTGTTTCCCGAACGCACTTCCAAGCTGTAGCTGGGCCCTGGATCCAGAGAGAGGGAGCAGCAACGGACAAAGAGCTGGTGTCGCCTAGGACCTTCAACAGCACCAGAGCCCCCCTGGCCTTCCTGACCTCCTGGGGGAGGGTACTCACTGGAAAGGACTTGATGGACCACACGATCTCGCTGTTCTCGGGGACCCACTTGACGCTGCCCACCGTGGTCTTGAACTTGGGTGAGTCGGCATCGTTGGGCACGGGGATGTGGATCTCCACGTTGTTGGCAGTGGACCGCCGCTTGAACTGGCTCTTGGCCTGCAGAGGGGGTTGACGTGGCTCAAGGTTTGGGAGGGTGAAGGTGAGATGGCCCAGCTCAGCCACCCAGGGCCACCAGGGCCCCAGCCCCTCAGCCTGGGCCGTAGATCTGCTCCCCAACAATGAGCCCTGGCATCTCCAGGCACTTCCCAGCCCTCCCCCACCCTCAACGCCCCCCTGAGCCTGGCTTCTGAAGTCGGGTGTCTCCTGCCTGTCCCCCAAGCCTCCGTGGGTTCCCAGATCTCCCCCTGGCCTGGCCTTCTAGGACAATGCCGGTGGCCCCAGCCTGGCGTGGGCTGGAGTGTCATGGAGAGGTGAGTGTCCACCTGGCAGGCAGCCGCTCTGGGGAGCCTCCCTGTGCCTGGCCACAGGCCCCTCCAAGGAAGTGGCACCATCTGAGGGAGCCCTGGGTGGCGTCTCTTTCCTGTGCCTGGCCACCCCCCAGCTGAGCCCACACTGAGGCAGAACAGATGGCAGCCCTGTGACACCCCGGCCCTCATGGAAGCCAACGCCCGAGGCCACGGATGGGCCAGGGCCATGGAAGACCCTCGATGGGTGGCACACCGCTGGCCCTGCCCGGCTCCCGCTGACCTTGATCATGTACTCGATGCGGCTGTGGGAGTGCTTCTCGATCACAGACTCGATCCAGATCAAGGGCTTGACCTGGGGGGAGGGGACGCACTGAGCGGGTCCAGTCTCATAAGTGCCTCGGGTGGGAGGGGAGGCCCAGGCCATCTCCAGGGAGGGGTCTCGGGGCCCAGGGCCCTGGGAGGAGTGCTGACTGGAGAAGGGGGCTGCAGGGGCCACACATCTGGCCCGGGGAGGGGCTCCGTCCTGCCTCCTCAGGGAGCTCAGGCCCGAGGACTCAGTCTCCTTGGAGCCGGACGCTGCCCATGGAGTGGGGGTGGGGCCAGACACCATGGCTGCCCTGGGGCCACCTCGTGGAGTGAGACACCCCTGGGGACAGGGGCTGTCCCGCCCTGCTGGGAGGAGCAAGGGGCCTGCCTGGGCCTCGCGCTGGGCCTCCTGGCACAGGGCCGGTGGCCGGCACTCACGTGGGTGTTGAGGCGGTAGGACATGAGCTCGAACTCGCCGTCTGGCGGGATGAAGGAGATGGTGCGGTCGTTCTCGAAGCGCGAAAGGCGCACGCACTGGTGGAACTTCACGTCCTCCAGCTCCACAGATTTGCTCTTGCCCCCTGAGGGAGGGAGGGAGGGAGGGAAGGAGGGAGGGTGAGCCCTGGGCCCCCCGGCAGAGCAGGGCCCGCCGACACCCCTGCTGACCCTCGCCTCCCTGGTGGCACCTGATGCCGAGTGCCTACTGTGGTCCTGGGGACAGGGCTGCTGGGCCTGGTTTATGCCGAGTCCCAGCAGCCAGGGCAGGGCTGGCAGCGGGCCTCTCCGGACACTTGCTAATGATCGGTGGCTCGGCTCCTCAAAGGGCCAGGCCCCACCGTGCCCTCCTGCTGGAACCTGTTTCCCACCTCACTAAGGGGACGGGGGTGGCCCTGCCCAGCCATCCTCCTGGGCTAATAATGCCCGGGAGAGACATTCCTGGGCCACCGTAGGAAGTGCTGAAGGTCACTTCCACTTCCCGTGACTGCCGATGGCCCAGGGGAGAGACCTGGCCTGATGGTGCAGGGGGGCTGAGGCTTCGCGCTGACATTCACAGTGCTCCCTGGTTTTCCCCAGCCCTGGGTGGCCTGGGACCTGACTCTGGGATTTCCACTCTGGCGTCTCCTGCGCCACCTTGTGAGCCCTGTGAGCTGCCCCAGGCCACGTGCTCGAGCTGGCCTCCCTTCCCCGGTGAGCAGCCCCGTGAAGCCTGCCCTGGGCGAGGCCCACAGTCTTCGGGCCCTGGCCGCTCTGGGCCACCGCCGCCCGCCCCCGCTCGGCCTGTACTCACGGCCCGTGTTGTCGAAGAGGACCTTGTCGTTGAGGCCCAGGCGCAGCTCCGGCATTCCCGAGAGGAAGACCCGCATCTTGATGGAGCCTACGATCTCGCTGCGCAGGACGTTGCCGTTGGCACTGACCTGGAGACGGCAGCCGGTGTGAAGGGCCCCGCCTGCCAGTGTCCCCACCACGTGGCAGCCCCCCACGGCTTCCTTCTCGGCACCCCTCTCGTCTCCACGCTCCCCCTCCTGAGCCCTGGCAGGGGCAAGCCCAGGTGCAGACCCCACTCCCAACCCACGCCGGGCTGAGAGCTCTGGGCTCGAGGGGGTCTGTCCAGCCCCCTGCTAGGACCAGGGGGACACACGCTGCAGGCCCCACCCACAGGTCTCGGGCCACACTGGGCCTGGTGACGCAGTGCCAGGAACTGACCTAGGGGCTCTCACATGGGAGCCCCTGAGTGGCCCCTGAACAGACCGAGCAGCTGGTTCCTGTGAGGCCGTGTCCTCAGCTGACCCGGGGCAGGACCCTGCCAGCTCTGCTCACCTGGCGGCGGGCGCGACTCACTTTTCTCCAGGTATCTATTCTCCACCTGGGCCTCCGGCCCCTCCTCCCCAGGGTGGTCAGAGGTGGAAAATCCGGGTCCTGGCCCTCCCCGTGTCCCAGGGCTGCCCTGAAGTCTGAGAGCCCTCAATCCAAAGTGACGATTAACGAAACACGTCCTGTCACAGCAGCCAGGGCCCCGGAGGACCGCAGCCTCTGTGCCAGGCCCCCCGACACACTCTCGGGGCACCTATGGGGCAAGGACTGTGACTGGAGGGGGCCGCTACTCACTGCACTCGTAACCCAGGACACACAGTGAGAGTGCGGTCACATGCCACCAGGTGACAGCCTGCACCTGCCGCCCGTCCCGGGAGCCCCCATTAGGGAGGAGGACTTTGCAGCACAGAGGGAAGCCCTGGGCCGAGGACGGAGGGGGGAACCAGCCCTGCCACAGCTCGCGTGGTCACTCTGTATGGGCAAGGCCACGCTGGCAAGCATGCTGAGGGCCGTCAGCTCAGACCCAGGGCCACACGCCAGGGCGCACCCGCCCACAGGGTGCAGGGAGGGCCCAAGGTGGGGTGTCTAAGAGGAGCAGGACATCGCCCCGTTTTCCACACAAACGTCTAAAAAGCACCAGGTGGACAAACGGAAGCCCACCAGGCTGTTGTCACTGAGGGGAGGGGAGAAACGGTGGGGCTAAGGGGACCACCACTCTGAGGAAGGCACAGGAAAGGACAAGGCCCTGCAGGCCGGCCTCCTGCCGCTGTCCCCCTTCCACTCCCACCCCACTGGCCTCCCGTCGCCTTTCCCCAGGCAGCACCCTGGTCTCTCCAGCGCCTGCCTGCAGCACCCTCCAGTGAGGGGGCCAGGCCGCTCCCTGCTCAGCCAGCACCAGGCAGGCACCTGACCCCTGAGCTCCAGGACCCCCTGGGCCCCTCCTCTGGGAGCTGCCCCCTTCACCTGCGCAGGTGCCCCAACCCTGGCCGGCAAGCCCAGGCAGCGCAGCCAGAAGGCCTCCCAGCCCATGGGGTCGGTCTCCGCCTCAGGGCAGCTGCCTGGCCACCCAAAACCAGTGCCCTCCACAGGGCATGGGTCAGATAGATGTTTGCCAAGGGGGACTGGCTGCAAGGTCCCCTGCTCCACCCACACGACAGGAATCTGGAGACGAACGTTGACCCAGCAGTCAGACTTGGGAAGGTGACGCTCTCAATGGGCCCCTGTGGTGACCTTTGTGAAGGAGTGGGATCCTGGGCAGAGCCACACGCAGCAGTGCACTATGGCTAGGTGCTGTCCCCCTTAGCTCTAAGCTGCACCCCTAGATTTGCTTTTCCACCCAGAGGACCCAGAGCCATGTTCTGAGTTCCAACAATTCAGATGAGGGCTCCTAGGCAGAAGGGGACGGTGGTTAACGAGGTCACCGTCTCGGAACACAGGGTTGCAGTGAGAGCTGTGGAACCATCTTCTAGAGGAGCCCCCTCCCAGACAGCTCCAGGCCTGGAGACCCCACCCTCTGGACGTCCCGACCCAGCGAGGGAGCTGTCCCAGCACACACCTGCAGATGAGCAAGCGTGGCCCGTGCCCTGCTGTGACGGCCAGAGGGACACACTCTGGGCCCACGTGACCGATCAGCAGGCCATGCCAGGCCAGGGGTGCTGCAGGAGAGCGGCAGCGCCCATCAGCCCCGCCAGCCTCACTGCGCACTGATGGCCATGGCCGGCCCTGGACACGAGGCCCTGGAGGAAGTGAGCACTGTGGGCAGACGGCATTGGAGGGCCTCGGCTCACTCGGGGCTGGAAGGGGAACTGGGGAGCTCAGGGGGACAGTTCTGTTCTCTCATGTCCTGGGCCCAGGCCATCCCATGACACTGGCTGCTGCTCCAGGAGGATGGGCAACCTGTGCTCTTCCCTGTCCCCACCTGTGTGAGGCCCGCCGGTGAACACCACTGTGGCCAGCTGGAGCCCCGGGCTCGGTCGGGGGAAAGGGAACAGGCTGGATAGAGTGCAGAGAGGGACTCAGGAAAGACACCGGGAAGTCGTGTCTCCAGAGCACGCCGGAGTTTGCATGAGAGTGTGATCCTCGTGCCGTATGACTCGCCCCCCACTCAGAGCCAATCTAACCACCCGGGCCCCAGAATGACCACTGGGCAGTGCACGTTCAGCTAAAAGTGAATGGGCCTGAGGCTTGGGAAACTGAACTGAGACTCAGCTCACAGCACTGGGCTGGAATTTGTGGCCTGGACAAAACCAGATCAACTGTTGGATAAAACAAAAGCACCAACATTTTCCATATTATTTAAATAAGACCTAGAATCTCATCATGTAGTAATTTAGAGTTCAGGATATGATTCATAATCACGCAGCACATGGAGGCCATGACAATTTCAACCTGCGTGGTAAATATACCATCTATGGATGTTACTGCTGACACACAGATGTCAGGATCATCTGACAGGGACTTTAAACAGGCACCTTATAATCATGAACATGCTTGTGACCAATACTGAAATAGGAAGTCTCGGCAAAGAAAAGATGACACATGGAAAAACTAAATGGTGAAATTTTAGAAGTAAAAAATACACTAACTAAAATAAAAATGAAAAGCAGAAAGGAGACAACACAGGAAAGGGTCAGTGAACTTGTGAACCGGAAGACAGATCAACAGAAATGATCCAGTGGGTACAATGGAGAGAGATGGGAAGGGCAGTAACAGAAGTCTGACATTCCCGTGGCACTGGAGTCCAGAAGGAAATGGAGTGAAATAAAAACATACCTGAGGACGTGGTGGCTGAACACTTCCTGAGCTTGGTGAGAGACTGAACCTACGACTCAGGAGGGGAGTGAAGGGCTGGGCCGAGCGCAGTAGCGGAACACCGGCCGGCACGTGGGGAGGGCCTGGCTTCAGTACCCAGAACCGCGGGGGAAAGACAGGGGAATAAACTCCAAATAGGAACGCACAGACGTCCACACCTGATGTCTGAAGTCTAAATGCGGCAGGCCGCAGACCTGGCTCGACAGTACAGTGCTCGAATAGCATGCAAGAGGCCCTGGATTGCATCACCAGCAGCAGGAAAAATAAAACCTAACTGTTGAAAACTAAAGTCAAAGAAAGACTGGGAGAGCAGCCAGAGCAAAACGACACGTGACCCACAGAGGACCAGGACCTGAGCGACTTGGGACGCCTCACCAGGAACAGGAATGTCGGAGGGCAGCGGCCCAACACGTTTAAAATGCTAAAAGAAAATTGTTGAGCCAGAGTTGTGTGTCCACTGAAAAGATCCTTCAGGAACAAAGGCAGAATGTGAAGACGCTCCCAGATGACACTGGTGTCCCACAGACCTGAACTATAAAAATCGCTAAGAGAAACGTCTTAGATGGAAGGAAAATGATGCCAGAGGACTGGTGAGCACCTGGGTAACTATGGGGACTGCTCTCCTCTCGGGGTGGCAGTGGGTCTCACAGCTGAGAAAGGAGTTCAGGTGTCTGGTGGGCTTTTCCACCTACGCAGACGTAACAGACGGGACGACTCTACCATCCAGGGGTAGCAGTGTCCACACAGACCAAAGGAAGTGTAGGAGGTTGATTCCAAGTAACTCTGAAATCACAAGTACTGTCACACGTGTTTAATGACCAGGCTATGTTCTCATTAGGTGACTTTGTCACTGTGCCAACATCATAAGTACACTCATAGGGACCTAGATGCATAGAGGTCACAAGTCAATCACTAGACACAGCCTCTCGGTGCAATCCAGAGACTGTGGTAACACAAGACGTACGAGGCTGCTGCTGTGATCACACAACACAGTTTTATGGCAAAAAAAAAAGAAAAACTAAAAGGAGGACTCTTGGAAAAGGTGATAAACAGTGTGGCATGGTAAATACGTGCACCAATAACCCAGTCATTCATTACCACTAATAAGCATTACACACTGCACACAGCTGTATGTGCTGTACTTTTTTATATGACTGGTACCACAGTAGGTGTGTTTACACCAGCATCACCAACACGTGACATGACAGCTATGACATCACCCGGTCACAGGAAATATTCAGTTCCTTTAAAACCTTATCGGACCACCATCAATATGTAGTCCATCGTTGACCAAGATGTCATTATGTGGTGAATGACTATTGTAAACAGAGAACAGGAAAAAAATGACAAAATGGTAGACTTCAGTCCAAATTCAGTCACAAAAAGTATGAATGGCCTAAACACATGCAATGAAAAGACACAGACTACAGCTGGGCACGGTGGCACAAGTCTGGAATCCTAACTACTCAGGAAGCTGAGGCAAGAAGATAAAATAAATTCAAGATAGCCTGGGCAACAGTTATTCTTATCAAAAAAAAAAAAACAAAAGATCATCAGATCTTTAAAAATTGATGGTCATTTTGTGTATAAGGCTTAAAGTAAAGGGATGAGAGGAAAAAGTAAGAAATGTACACCGTGAAAAAACTAATCACAAGAGCACCAGAGGGGCTGGGGCCTAACCACCTGCCCGGCCACGGGTTCCACTCCCAGCACCTCCAACCAAACAAAGCAAAACCCTGGGGTGACAGTGTTGATAGCAAAGTGGACTTCAGAGCAGAACACTTATCAGAAATGAAGAAGGACGTGGCATAATAATAAAGGGTTCAATTCATCAAGAAGACATGAGAAGCCTAAATGCGTTGGTGTCCAAGAGCAGGGTGGCAAAGACACACAGCCACCGTAAAGGCAGGCACCCTACCCCCTCTGTCAGTGAAGGGTGACAAGCAGCAGAGCACTGCCAAAACTGCTGGAATAACTGAACACCATCGATCAGCTGGATCTAACGGGCCTTCACAGCACACGCCACCCAAGGACAGCAGAGGACACGTGCCACCCAGCAACAGCAGAGGACACACTCCTTGGCTACACACATGGAGCTCTCACCAGGAGAGAGCATTCTTGGGTCCTTAAAACAGACCTAACACATTTTAAATAACTGAAATTATTCAAGGAATGTCCTCAGACAACAATGGAGTTAAATATCAATGACAAAGGATGACAAAAATCTGCAAACCTTCAGAAATTTAAACATAACCCATTATCAAAAGGAAAGTCTCAAGGAAATTTGAAGGTATTTTTGAACAAAAATAAAACCCCAACATATTGACTGTGAGATGTTTTAAATAACAATGATTTGAAAATTACAGCATTAAGGGTTTACTTCAGACAGGAAGAAAAGTTTCAAATTCCTATCTACAGCTTTACCTAAGTAACTAGAAAGAGAAGAGAAACCTTCATCAAGGGGAAGGAAATAGTAGGGATGATGCAAAAATATTAAATTGAAAAGAACAGAAAAATGGGGGGGGGGAAATCAATGAAATCAAAAGCTGATTCTTTGTAAAGATCAAAAAAATAGGTAAACACCTCACAAAACTGATAAAGAAAAAGGAGAGAAAACACAAATGATCAGTACTGGGAATGAAGAGGAATACCAGCATAGACTTTCAGACATTAAAGACCTAAAGGATTGCTATAAACACCACTCAACAAGTCATGTGACATGGACCAAGCTCTAAAATAGAAAAATAGTAATGAAATAAAAAGTTGAAATTTGTAGTTAAAAACATTCTGAAAAAAATCACTGCTTAGTTTCCTAGTTTCACTGGTGAATTTTAACAAATGTTTAAGTAATTAGCACCAATTCTATATAATCTTTGTCAGAAAAGAGGAGGAAATACTTCCCAGATCATTTTAAAAGGACATCACTACCTTGATACCAAACCAAACCAAAGTATTACAAAATGAGAAATACAAACCAGACTTTGTTATGAATACAGAGCCCTAACTCTCCATACAATATTAGGCAGATAAAAAATAGCACACCAAGACCAACTGGATCTATTCCAGGAATGCAAGCCTGGTTCAATCATCAGAAAGCAGCTGGCAGAAATCACCATGTTAACATCTTGGGTGGGGTGAGGCTGGTGAGAGCCTGCCTAGCTCGGGAGGTCCTAGGCTCTGGCCCTACCATGGCAAAAACCAAGCAAACAAACATCAAACAAAAACCTAAAAAAGGAAACCCCCATGCTCGCAACAATTCACACAGAAAAAGCATTTAACAAACACAACACTTATTCATGATAAAGATCTTGCAGCAAATTAGCAATAAAAGGGAACTTCTAACATGAAAACAGGACATCTAATCCTACAGCTGCCTTCCTAGTTAGCAGTGAAAGACTGAATACTTTCGTTTCAGGAACAGGGAAAGAAGGTCTGCTCTCAACGCTCACAGTCAATACTGCCCTGAAAATTTTAATGAGGTACTAGGTCAAAAAAAGAGATAAAAGGCATAAAGATTTAAAAGGAAGAAATAAAACTGTCCCTGTCTATGGCCAATACATCTATGTAGAAAGTCCCAAGGAATTCAAAAAGCACTTCAAGAATAAGTGAGTTTAGGGCACTGGGGTTGTGGCTTGTTGGTAAAGCGCTTGCCTCGCACGTGTGAGGCACTGGGTTCGATCCTCAGCATCACATAAAAATAAATAAAAGTATTGTGTCCATCTACAACTTAAAAAAAAAAAAGAATAAGTGGGTTTAGCAAGGTTGCAGGACCTGGTTAGCAAACAAATGTCTCATTCCTAAACCCTGGTGATGTCCAGTTGGAAATTTAAATTAAAATATATAACTTATAACAGCTTCAAAAGATGAAATTCTTGCTGATACCTGACATCTTATTCTAATCCAGAGATGAAGCTGGGTGCAGTGGCACACACCCATAATCCCAGCGGCAGGGAGGCTAAGGAAGGAGGATGGAGAGTCCAAAGCCAGCCTCCTCAAAAAGCAAGGAGCTAAGCAACTCAGTGAGGCCCTGTCTCTAAATAAAATACGAAATAGGAGGGCTGGATGTGCTCAATGGTGGAGGGCCCTGAGTTCAATCCCTATTACCTACCCCCTCGAACAAAGAAACCAAGATGAATGAAAATAAGGGGACCATAAACTCTCGAGTGCCCGCCCCGCTAAGCCCACACTTGTGAGAGTTCAGGAATCAGGAAAAGTAACGTCCTTCTCACCTACAGAGGGCTTTTATCGTTCACAGTCAATAAATCACTTGAAAAAATGCAATGCTTAGGAATAACTCTAACAATGCGGTCACAGTAAAAACTACACAACATGGATGACAGAAATCCAATCTCTCTTCCTTTCTCACGTGCACACCCACACACTCTCTCTCTCCCTCTCTGCTCATGGATTGGGAGACTTAATTTAGTAAATATATCGAATCTCAACAAATTGACCTATAGAGTTAACAAAAGACCAGTCACAACCTCTGCAGAACTTTTGTAGAAATAGATAAGCTGACTGCAAAATTTTATATAAAGGAACTAGAATAAAACATTTTAAAATGAAGAATGTTGCCTCAAAATAAAAAAAAAATAAATAAAAAGGGCTGGGGATGTGGTTAAGCAGCCTGGGTTCAATCGCCGGGACACACACACAAAATAATACTATTTTGAATAAATCATAAAATCATACTGATTTTCAGACTTCTTATAAAATTACAACAATCAAAACGATGTGTTAGTGATGTAGGGATAGAAGGCCACACAGGCCAACGGAAGAGACGGGCACAGTACGGACAGTGGAATATGCAGACACAACAGCTACACAGACACTGGAAGAGAAGACAGGCCACGGAGTGAGGTTGATTTTGACAAAAGTGTGAAAGCAATTCAATAGAGAAAGGGCCCTCTTCTAAAAAAGAAAAACAGTGTTGGAACAACTTAAAAAAATATTGTATATGCAAAAAGAAACCTGGATATAAATCCTCCCACCTTATATAAAATCCAACTCAAAATGGACTGTGGATCTGAATACAATCTATAGAGCCTTGAGAAGACATGCAGAAGAAGGCTGGCCTGAACTTGGGTTGGCAATGAGTCAGACTCGACACCCAAAGTGCAATAAAAAATGCTTTTGATACTTGGATTTCACCAACATTAAAAACTTTTGCCAAATACTGCTAAGAGAATAAAAAGGCAAGTTATAGACGAGAAGAAACTACTTGCTGGTCCGATTACCTGACCAAGACTTGTATCTGGGATATGAAGAACCTGTAAACTCAACAGTAGGAAAACCAGCGATCCCATTGTAAAGTGCTCAGAGACACAGAGAGACATCGCTCCACAGAGGGTTCAGGGGTGAGAAGGAAACACAAAAAGGCACGTTGCGCGTCATGGAGCCCTGGGGAAACACAGACCAGCACTCTGCCGAGAGAACGCTCCCTACGCCCTAGAAGGGGGTGCGCAAAGTAAAAATGACCACGGGGGCACAGCCACCAGAATCCCACCCATTGCTGGTGAGCGTGCAAAGGGGAGTTCGGTGGTTTATTATAAAGTTAAAGGTACACTTACCATGTGACCCAGCCATCCCACTCCTGGGTATTTACCCTAGAGAAATGAAAACTCATGTCCACACACGACCCCGAACACCACACCCAGCAACACCACTCATTTATTGCCAAAAACTGGAAAATGACCCAAATGTCCTTCAATGGATGGAGAATCACACTGTGGTTCATTCAGAATGTGAAACAAAGAGAAGGGCACAGCGAGGAAACAGCGGTGGACACACAGAACCTGGACCCCCGAGAGGCACTGCACTGGCAACGCGACGTGTGGCTCCTCACCCCCGACAGCTGCACTGCAGGACGATGCCATCCAGGTGACAATCTCAAAGACCATGCCACAGTAACTGAGCACAGATGGTGGCTGCCTGGGGTGGGGGACGAGGGGAGTGGGCTACAAGGGGCAACACGAGGGATGGACATTTTGAGGGTCTCCACCCTGGCTGGGGACGAGTGCACAGGTATGAATGGGGGCTGACACTCACAGGCACAACGAGCAACTTTACTCAATAGCTAAAAAGCAAATTAAAGGAACAAACCAGACGGGCTGGGGTGTGGCTCAGTGGCAGAGCATCAGCCCAGCATGCTCGAGGCCCTGGTACCCCCAGCGCTGAAAACAAATGAAGCCAGGCACCAGACAGTGGACCAGAACCCAACCCAGACCCTCCAAACCAAGGCAGCACCTGGAGAACCACCCCGAACACTCTCCACGCCCTGGAAAACCACACCCTTTGGACATCCGACCTGAGGTCCCAGGAGCGACAATGACAGTCCTTCAGGGAGGAGGTCATCCTGATGACAGGAACTTTAGCTTTTTACACTTTCTTTCTCTTCAACAACCTGCACGTACTGAGTGTCAGCACAAGCGCTCTCCGGCTAACACGGCCTGTTTCCTGAGCAGCAGGCCCAACACTGCTGACTGCCGATTATCGCAACCTCCGTGTTTCTTAGGGCTTTGCCAATATTAAAATTAAAATTAGTTTTTTCCTATGATGGAGCACTCAACAGCATTTTTTAAAAAGCAAGGAAGAAACCTGGGGTCGTGGCTCAGCGGTAGAGCGCTTGCCTAGCACATGCGAGACCCTGGGTTCAAGCCTCAGCCCCACATAAAAATAAACACATAAAAATACTGCGTCCAACTGAAAAAAAACTTTAAAAAAAAAAAAGCAAGGAAGAAGGAAGCCTACCAAGAGGTTCACAGACTCGATGACGTCCAAGAACACCTCATTCTTCCGGTACTTGATGCCTTCAGACCGCCAAGACACTGCGTTGGTGACGGTGGCTGGGGGCCGCGGGGCCCCTGTTTCCAGCTTGTGGCCTTCCTGAGTGATGTACCTGTGGGGCCAGAGTCAAGGAGGTGTCACCTGCACTGGCACTGAAGCTTCAGGTGGCCATCTGGGCAGGGCAGGGTGGAAGCAGGAGGTCCTGAGCCACATGGAAGCCCCTCCCTGGCGTGGGCTCCAGGACAGGACCCCCTGAGTGCTGTCCAGCAGGCTGACAGAATCCAGCGACAAACAACCAATAGCACTTATTTCGGGGAGCCAAGGAGACAGTGTTTTGGGGATGTGTGTTCAAGTGCATGCAGGTGTGACCGACTGCAGGGCTGGGGGGCCCATGGCCTGGTGCACGCTGGGCGAGCTCGCTACCACTGAGCTAAGGCCCTGAGCTTTGTAAAAACTTTTTATTTTATTTTGAGACAGGGTCTTGCTAAGGGGCTGAGGCCAGCTTTGAACACACGATCCTTGCACCTCAGCCTCCCGAGTAGCTGGGGTTAGAGGCTTGCCACCGCACCCAGTAGAAGAAGAGCCTATGAGATGGGCACATGAGCAGAACTCCAGCCAGGCCTGGGACACAGCAGTTACCAGCCCCCAGGGAGCACTTGAGGACACAGAGAATCACAGAGATGACAAGTGGCCTGGGTGAAGTGGCCTGGGGTGGCCTCTTCCAAGAAGAGAAAGCAGGACAGGACCAACCAGTCCTGCTCCTCCAAAGATGGGTCGGGAACACAGGCTTCTCTGGGTGTCCCCTGGCTTCCTATGAAATGAAGACTGGTGCCCGGGACTTTGGACTGAGAGGAGGGAAAGTGCTCTCCACATCTGGCCCAGTAAGTGCTGGACCCACACTGACTGGGTTTTTGATGGAAAAAAAACTCCAAAGAAGGAAGACTCTGTCACAGCCTGTTGTGCAAGTGAGACATAAGCCAGCACTTCCCGAGAGCAAGGGATTCAGGGCATTTATGTGGCTACAACAGGAAATGATGGTCATGTTATGAGGGATGTTGTGGAGAAAGGACCCTAAGCCACCCAGAACAGCTCAATCTAAAACCCATGTCCACACTGGCCGCGGTGGTGCACGCCTGTCATCCCAGCGGCTTGGGAGGCTGAGGCAGGAGGATCCCGAGTTCAAAGCCAGCCTCAGCAAATTAGCGATGCCCTAAGCAACTCAGTGAGACCCTGTCTCTGAATATAAAATGAAAAGTGCTGGGTATGAGGCTCAGTGTTAAGCACCCTGCGTTCAATCCCCAGTAACAAATAAATAAGGCTCAGGTCCAGCTGAGATGGGAAGGAGACGGGGACAGCAGGGATGTACATCTGCTTCTCCCACTTGCAAACCTGAGGCCAGCATGTCATGACATGGCCCCACCTGACCACGGGGCCCTCCCCACCCACTCACTCCTGCAAGATCTTGCTGTCCGTGGTCTGGGGGTAGCCAAAGTCCATGAGCTCATCCAGCAGCTCGTAGATAATGACGAAGTTGTCGCGGATGCTCTCCTCCTCCAGCTCCTTGAAGTACTCGGAGAACACCTGTGGTGTCGGGGTGGGGGCGGGAGGAGCGCTGGGAGGAGAGACGGGGTGAAGGGGCCGCACACTCCTCCACCTCCAGGCAGAGCCAACAGCCCTGCGCACACGTCCCAGGCTTGGTGACGTGCTCTGCAGCACTCGGCCTGGAGAAGGCAGGCAGGACAGCGCTGGCTGTCTGTGAGGGGGAACCAGCAGGGTTGGGCAGACGCCCGCCAACATCTGACCAGAAGCCCTGGATCCCAACCCACAGTTCCATCCCCCGCCGGGCCCGTGGCCTCCCCAGAACCTCTCTTTAATTGTGCTGACACCTGGCATGTGTCAGCCACCCCCTCAAGTGGGCCCCAAGCAACTGGGCCTTGACGAGTCCCAGCAGAGCCTGGGTCAGCCCACCTCCCCAACCCGACTGCCAGCTGTCCTCCATCATTCCTCCGGGCTCAGGGCTCGCCCCTGCCCCAGCTCCACCTCCTCTGTCCACTTCCTGACCTCATCAGGGGGGAAAGTTACAAAGGCCAGAGAACCCCAAGTGCAAGAAGGCAGGGTGCCCCTTCCAACTTCCAGAGTTCTGGCTTCAGAACTCCCTAGGGATGGCCACAACTAGGACGCGAGAGCAGAGTCACTCCTCAGCCCTGAAGGGCGCTCACCTGCACCACCTTGTAAAGAAAGGAGAACACCAGAGACACGCACGCGTTCTTCTTGGAGGTGGCGACCACTGCACGGAGCCTGGTTAAGGAGCGTTCCCAGTGGCCCTGCCCACAGGCCCTGCCTCTCCCGTCCCGTCACACCACCTGCCACCTACTTGTGGCAAGGGGAGTTAGCAGGCCCGGGGCTCCAGCCAGGCCTGGGACACAGCAGTTACCAGCCCCCAGGGAGCACTTGAGGACACAGAGAATCACAGAGATGACAAGTGGCCTGGGGTGGCCTCTTCCAAGAAGAGAAAGCAGGACAGGACCGACCAGTCCTGCTCCTCCAAAGATGGGTCGGGGTTCCCGGCCAGGACCCCTGGGACACGGCTGGGCTAACTCTGCTGCTAGCTCTTGCCGGCTTTGGCAATGGGCGTGGCCCCCGAAGCGGATCTTTTTAACGTAACCTCAACGTCCCTCCCTGTTTAATGGGGGCCTGAGTGCAGACTTGCTGTGTAAGGTGCCTGGCCCAGATTCCCCTCCCGCAGGAACCAGCCCCTGCCTCCACAGGGCCAGCAGGTGCTGGGCACTTCCTGTTCCTCTTTCCTGAATGGGCCTGGAGCCACCAGGGAGGCTGGTCCCTCTAAGGCCTGCGTGTGGCACCACAGAAATCCCTGTCTGTGACATGCCTGAGCTAGGTGGCTGGTGTGCCAAGCACGAGCTCTGGGATGGAGGGAGGGAGGGCAGGGGCCACGTCCCCCTCACTCCCACCCTCCCCGCACAGCACAGAGGTCAGGAAATGGGCGCTGGAGAGAGGAGGGCAGGCCCTTCCTGCAGCCCAGCAGCAGGCCTCCCGGAGACACAGGGAGGGAGCAGTGGTGACTTTCCTGGCTTCAGAGTTGGGTTCATTCTGGAAACTGTCACCAGACGATAAAGTTGGGGACCAGGCTGGGGTGGGAGGATGTCCACTCACCCAGAGGGGTGAGCCCTCACTGTCTCTTCCTTAGCTGTCCCTGTGTGGAATGTGGGGATCCAGAGGGACACTGGTCTGATGGCTGCTGCTGAGCTCGCATCAGTGCCTGGCCCCTCCCCACACCTGGGTGTGTGCGGCCCAGACCCAGGTGGCTTCAGAGAACGGTCAACTCCCTGAGTTACAGACTGCCCAGAGACTCTCCAGAGCCGTCTTGGCCTGCTGGAGAAGGGCGAAGTCTAAGCAGAGGCCAGAGGAGGGCCACCCCCTCCCACCGCAGACGAGCCCCGCACCAGCAGGCTGGCCTCCCAGCAGTGCAGAGTGGGGGAAGGTGGCAGGGAGGCCACGGTCCCAAAGGTCCCAAAGCTCTGGGCGTGCGGTGGCCCATGGAGCGCGCCTGCATGGCAAGTTCCCACGTCCCTGCAAACACAGCGGGGGGCCGTATGTGCACCAGCAGAGGGGGCTGCTGCTCCCTTGCACTGTGGGAGGAGGGGACGGCCTCTGCACTTCAGCTATTGTAGGGGCCCAGACGGGCTGGCTACGGCACAGCTGAGCCTTGCTGCAGCAGTGTGGGTACCAGAGGTGCTTGGAGACCTGGTCCAAGAAGCAGGAGGGCCAGCTGGGCCCCATGGGCAGTCTGGCTTGATTGGAGGGCAGGAAGGAGACTCCATGATCTGAGCAAATCTCTCCCCATCTTTGTAGCTGCTGCCCTCAGTGGTTCAGGCCAACTTCCTTCCCATGTGGACACTGGCCTGGCCTCTTCGACATCATCTCCTCGTGGCCACTGCTCTTCCCTAAAAGGGTGCACTGAGCAGCCAGAAATGCAGATGTGCCTGAAGCCCTCCCAGGAGTTCCCACCACATTTAGGTGACATTCTTCTAGACCCGACTGCAGAGCCGCTGACCACGCCGGCCTTGCCCCTGCTCTGCACCCCCAGCTCCAGCTGCAGGAGCTTCACTTGGCCCAGTGTTCCTTATGCCCCCTGCCCTGCATGCTGGCCTTCCTACAGGTCTCTTCCAGGATGTCACTCCTTTCCTGGGCCCCCTCCTGCCCTCTCCTCCCCACTCATCACCTGTCATGCTGTGTTCTTAGCCTATCTCCTCGGGCAGCAGGGAGCTCTGGAAGGACAGGGCTGTGTACCCTGCTGGGTACTGAACCAGCCCTGGGGGCACAGCGTGTAGGCGACACACACACTCGGGTGTTCACACAGGAGGACTCCAGGAAAGGGATACGATACAGGTTGTTGTGTTTGATCCACATGAAGCGGACACCCCCGTGGGCCAGGATGGGGGACAGCATGCCCTCCTCCTCCTTCTCCATCAGGATGGGCATGAAGTGCTCCACCTCCGACATGTCCACGTCGCCACGGTAGTTCCGACAGATGAGCACCTGGGGTCGGGGAGGAAGAGGACAGACAGGAGCTTTCACCTGGGGTGCTGCAGTCTGGGCCCTGAGGCAGGGGCGAGATGTGCCAGCTGTCCTGTCCTCCTGGGGACAGGAACTAGACCAGAGGCCACTTCCCCCTCCAGGTGAACGTGAGGACGCCCCCACTAATGGTGGTTCTTGGCAAGGAGAGGGCTCTGGAGGGAAGGCCCAGGTCTGAAGCGCTGGCTCAGAGACACCAGGCCAAGCAGCTCCCTGCACGGGCCCTCGCGGAGGCGTCCCCGGCTAACGCCACCTGCTCTCCTGCCTGTGTCGGGGTCCTGTTTGCTACTGAAGGTTCAGTTTACTAGATCACACCTGCAGCCCGACCAGGAGAGCCCCCTCCTCTCCCACCTGTGGATCAGGACCCTCTGCCCACATGTGGCGGAGCTGCACAACGGAGCAAGCACGATGGGAAGTCTGACAGTGCCTCGAAAAGTCAAGCCACAGTTACCACAGGAGCCGCCTTCCCGTAGGTGTCCACCCCAGAGAAACGGGACTGTGGGTCAGAGAACACCTGCAGCAGCTCTGCACTAGACAGACCCGACCTGGAGGCTACGGCCACGGCCTTCAGCAGCGGAACAGAGAGAAGACTGTGCCCAGGCACACCGCAGACAGCCAGCAGCAACAGAAAGGAACACACCAGTCACCCCCTGTGTCTGCAGGGGACTGGCCCCAGGACCTGCCCCACCAGCACACCAGAATCTGCTCCAGCCCCTGGTGTCAAGCGGCCCAGCACCCGCACGGAACCTCCACCCAGCTGCGGTAGACTCCGGCCCGTTTCCTGATGACCTGAGACAGCACGCAGGCTACGAAAACGGTTGTCACACCATATTGTTTAGGGAATAATGACAAGAAAAAGTCTGAGAGGGCAGGAGACAGCAGGAGAGGGCGAGGGGTGCCTCTCTGGTCTCTCTTTTGTGGCTTCTGGGGAAAGGCCCTGTGGGTGAGCTCATGGGCCCTGACCCGGCCGGGGGACTCCCACCTGTCCTCCTGGTCATCACCCTAAGGCAGGCCCGTGGTCGTCAGAGACAGACGGGATGCCCTTCAGGGTGAAGCTGTCTGCCTGAGGCCACACGGCGAGTGAAGCAGTCAGTGACCTCACCCCAGCCCCAGTGGGCTCCAGGGCCTCCTCTGCGGCTAAAAGCCGCTGCCCTGGTTTCTCATGGTCCACTTTCTTCTCCAGGGATCCAGAGTCTGAGGGATGCTGGCCTGGACGGGGGCCTCTGGGTCCCCAGAGTGCTCAAAGGAAAGAGGGGCACAGTTTGCTTCCCTGCCCCCCCAGGGCTGCCCAGGTGCTCACGCAGTCAGTAAGCACGTGTGGCGGGCACCGCGGCACACGCCTGTCATCCCAGCTACTTGGGAGGCTGCGGCAGGAGGACAGCAAGTTCGAAGCCAGCCCAGGCAACTTGGCGAGATCCTGCCTCAAACTAACAAAAAGGACTGGGCAGAGTGCCCCTGTTCAATCCCCAGTACCACAGCAAACAAAACCCAAAATTTAAAAGATGTATGCCTTCTGTGCCCCTGTAAGGTGGCACTGTGCTGGGCCTGGGGGCATGGTAGCAGCCAAGGCATGGGCATGTGCTTAGGGGGCATTGGGGGCCTTCCCGAGGGCATGACCTTCAAATCAAGGCCTGAGGGACAGGAGAGATGGGAACCAAGCTCGGCTGAAGTGTGGGGTGGGGGCAGCCCACGGGGGTCTGGGCAGAGTGGGCAGGCAGAGTGACGACCGCCTCGGAGCTGGGGCTGTGGGGCCAGAGGAGAGGTAAAGGCAGGAGGGAGCAACACTTAAGGTGACAGTCCCTCTCCTTGCTGTCACCCTTGTCCCCAGCCCAGGTCCTTCCTCACAAAATGTGACAGGCCTCTCCTCAACAGAAGCAGGAGTGAGTCTCTCTTCCTGCTGAAACTGACACCTACCCCAGCCTCCCTGGTACTGAGACCGAAGCCTCCGTCCATCACCACGGGCCACGGTCCCTGCGGGTCGGGCTCCTCGAAGCCCCTAACGCCCCACAGTCCCACCCCCGGCTCTCGGAGCCATGCAGGTTGGCTCCTCCTCGGGGCCTGTGCACCTGCAGCCCCCTCTGCTGAGAAAGGCCTGACCTCCGATATTCTCCAGCCTCAGCTCGGACGGCATCTCCTCCACGGGTCCTGCCTGCCTGCCCTGGCTGACAGCGTGTCCCATCCTCTCCACCCTGGCCCCTCTGTCCTCAGTGCCCATCCTGCACATTGCATCATATATTTATTTGCACCTTCCTTTAATGTCTGACATTCCCCGGGACCAGGAACCAGTCCTGTCTCCTTCACGGCTGTGTCTCAGCACCCAGGGTCCTGCCTATAGTAGATGCTCAGTAAACACGCATGGAGTCAACATGGGATGAGGAGGGGTCAGAACAATGCCTTTCTAGTGGGGACGACTGGATGGATAGATGAACGGTTGTGCCGCTTAGTGAGGTGGACCCAGAGCAAACCTGGGAGGTGACAGGATGTTCACTTTGGGAAATGCCCAGTGTGCAGTGGCTGGGATTGCCACGGTGTCCTGGAGGCCAACAGGCCTCAGAGCCAACAGAGATGGACAGTGATGGTCAGAGAGGCAGAGGTGAGTCAGGACTGCAGTACAACTGAGAGCCACTGGCACTGCCATAAATTAAAGCCACCTGCCACGAGGGACAGCATGGGAACACACTGAGGCCTGAGAGCAGCCAGGGCAGAGCTGTGCGGGAGGGGCGGACAGCAAAAGGAACATCAATAGTGTGACATCCTTAGAGTTGGGGGAGGTGCTGATGACTGGTGGCTAGTGGCGTCAGCTGCTGCTAAGAAGCAAGAGATGCAGAAGTGTCCAGGGAGGGCTTGCTACCAGCTGATGTGGCCACACTGGTCTCCTCAGGGATCCGAGGTTCTGCTTGGCAGGCAGACACGTGGTCCTGAGCTCCTCCATTATTTTTGATTCAGTGCAGTCTGCTCAGGAGGCCGACTTTTGGAACTGGAGGTCCCAGGGAGTGGAATAAAGGGCATCTTGGTTGCAGAGGGAGGGAGGGGAGCTTCCCAGGGGCAAGTCTGATCATGCTTCTCCCAGGCCACAATCTCCTCATTATGACTCCTTCCTCCTGGAATTGAAGGGGTCCCTTCAGTTCCCTTCTCCAATCGGGACATTCTCAACACCTGGTGCCATCCTCCAGGCTCTGGCATTAACCAAGACTTGTGATTTGCCAGCCCACGTGGGCTGCCCGTCACCTTCTGTACTCACTGGGACGCCTCTTCTCCACCTGACCACTAGTTGGTCACCTCAAAACCAGCTCCGGCACTACCTTCTGCCAGGGAGCCTTTTGTAACTCCTCTGACAGCCAAATACCAGGTTGAGCAACTGCATCACCCGGGGCCTTGTTCCTGCCTGTAGCTGCCTGGATCCGACTGCTCAGTAACCTCTTTGCTTCCACGCGCCTCCCCTGCTAGAGCCGAGGGCCTGTGGAGCCTAATGCAAACTGTGGACCACAGCAGGGCCAAGCTTCCCACATTTCCACACAATAACCCCATAAAAGCCTCTTCCAACCAGTGAGGAACTGAGGCCCAGAGAAGATGTATTTGTCAGAAGTCACACAGCTGCGACAGCGAGATGGGTTTTGCACTCAGCCTAGCTCCACAGAGTTGGCACAGGACTGGGTGCGTGCCAGGCACTCAGGAAAGGTTTGCTGAAGAAACAAGCAAGCTGAGACAGGCCTTCTGTGGCATCTCTGGAGATGTGGTGGCCAGGATGGAAGAACATGTGCCCCCAGGACTAGGGAGCACTGTACCCACCCACCCGCTGGTGCACCTCTAAGAAGGGCATCCTCCCTGTTTCTGAGAAGGCTGGGGGAAGAAGCACTGGGACTCACCAGTTGTTGACTTTGGTGGCACCCAAGGCAGGCACTCACTCAAGGGACTTGAGGAAAGTTCTGGGAGTGGGGCAGGAAGGGGCAGCCACCTCACCTCTTCAGCCTCAACTTCTGAGCCAACTCCCGTCCACCTCGCCTAGGACCCAACACCCACGCTTCTGTCACCCATGAATGTGGGGCTTGTTTAACACTGCTGGGCCAGCTCCTGCTGCTCCCACATGCAAGACGCGGGTGTCCCTGTCTTCCACCTGGGTGGGCTTGGAGGGCAACAGCCCACTTCTGAAGGCCTGAACATTTTTTTCTGTAAGAGGTTCTCTTGTCTGACAACCCTAGGGAAGATGCCTGGTCCTACTTATGCCAACTCCCTCAGACTCAGTCCCCTTTGCAGTCTCCTTTGTCACTCCCCCAGGGATGCTCATTGCTCCCCCACTGTGATCGACATTTACTTGTGCTTATTTGTATTTGGAGATTGATGTCCATCTCCCCCACCAGACTGTCAGTTCATGGGACAGGGACTGACTGATTGTGCTCCCCCCAAAATAGCCCACCACTTAGAAGCATGCCTGGAGCTTAGTAGACTCTCTGCAAATATCACTGAATGACAGTTGACTCCAAGTGGAACTCGGAGACCTGCAACTTCTCTGTGACCGGTTTGACCTTGGGCAGGCTGCTTCACCTCTTTGTGCCTCAGTTTTTCCTTCTAAAATGCCGCTCCCCCCACTCACCTCCCTAACCCTCGTAATTAAATGTCATGATGAACAGAGAGAAACTGCTACAGGGAGAACACGCAGGTTAAACAGAAGCTGCTGCGCCTACAGAAGGCGGGATTGGCCCTAGGGCACAGAGTCCCCGCCACGCCCAGTTACCTCGGTCAAGGGTCGCACGGCCCCTCTGCGCTTGGCCGGACTCTGAGGGCGGCTGCAGCCCGTCCTACCCAAATTGGGGTGGGGGGTTCCCAAGGAGGCCAAAGCTCGGGACTCAGGACTGATCGGAAGGGGATGAGGCCACCGGTTACCTGGCAACGGCGGCGGTGGCAGCCCACCGCGTTACCTAGCAACAGACCAGTGATAGCGGAGTGAAGACCACCGCCCGGTTACCTAGTAACAGGGTGGGKCCCTTCAGGTGAGGCCTATCGACCTCCACGTTTAATGCCAGGGTGGGGCTCACTGGCCGGTTACCTAGCAACAGGGTGGGTCCCCGAGGGACGAGGGCCCCACTGGTTGCCTGGCAACGGGGAAGGTGGGGAGCCTTCAGTACCTTGCCCTTCAAGTCCAGCACGTAGACGGCGCTGGCGGACATGGCGACTGCGGGAAGCCTCGGCAGCGCCGAGGGCGGCTGCAACGGCAGAGACTGCCGGGCGTTGAGTCAGGCCAGACGCGCCCCGCGACAGTTCCTCTCCACTTCCGGTTCGGAGAGCCGCGCGCGGACCGTTATATCCGGTCGGGAGGAGGTACCAGGATGCGCAGGCGCGGGACAGAGTTTGCGCAGACGCAGTACATCCTATACGACCTTATTTCTCACCCCCGTCTCAAACACGCCGGAAGCAAATGGCAGGGGGCGGGGCCAAGGAGGGCTGACTAAACCTGAGCCCTCGGGTAGCCCAGCTGCCGGGAACACCCGGCGGCTGGAAACCCCGTGCTGGGGTCCAAATTAGGCGACAGAGGCTAGTGATGGAACCAACGTGGGGCCAGCCTTAGAGAGCCTGCAGTCTGATCGGGAAGTCAGGGAAACAAATATAGTAATGGACTGCGATAAGCCCTAAGGGGAGGGGCGGTGACGACATGGAAGTCAAATAAACTCTCGGAATGGCAATTAAATATTACAGTTATTGCGTGTCACCTGTCAGTGTCAACCTTTATCAGTGAAGAAGCGTGCCAGTTTATTGCCTGGAATGCTCTCGTGAAAACCACGCCCCACTTAGCGTGGGCAAAAAACAAGGTTGATTTTTGTAGTTGAGTCGTTGTGGATCATGCAAATTGTGGCTAATTATTCGATTGGATTATATGTAGTTAACTTTTTTTTTTTTTCTGGCAGTGCTGGGGATGGAACGAAGGTCTTAAGGCATGCTAGGCAAAAGCTCCACCACTGAGCCAAGTTTGCTTTTTTTTTTTTTTTTTTTTTGAGAGAGAGAAATTTTCCAATATTTATCTTTCAGTTTTCGGCAGACACAACATCTTTGTTGGTATGTGGTGCTGAGGATCAAACCCGGGCCACACGCATGCCAGGCGAGCGCGCTACCGCTTGAGCCACATCCCCAGCCCCCCAAGTTTGCTTTTATGAACGCTTGGCCTGTGGAGAAATTCCTGCATTCTGTCCCATTGAACCATCGCCACACTCAGGGCATCCCAAAAGGGCTGTCAGAGCATTTACTCAGTCTGCCTATCTCTCACATATCTCTGTCTTGCCTCTTATCTGTTTAGCATTTGGAAAGAGGGTTTTGGCAACTCTGTGATTATATAACTTCTACTTAGGATAGAGAGATAATTGCAGAATATAATTGAGAAATATGGAATATTCGAAGGCTACTAAGCGAATCCTAGGTTGGAAGCTTTTTTGCGGTGCCCTGGAAGCATTCTTGCACAAAGCACAGAGCAGGCAGCCAAGAAGGACTTTTTTTTTTTTTGGTACCGGGGATTGAACTCAGGGGGACTCGATCACTGAGCCACACCCCCAGCCCTATTTTGTATTTTATTTAGAGACAAAGTCTCACTGAGTTGCTTAGCGCCTCCCTAAATTGCTGAGGCTAGCTTTGAACTCACCATCTTCCTGCCTCAGCCTCCCAAGCTGCTGGGATTACAGGCGTGCGCCACCAAGCTCGGCCAAGAAGAGCTTTTGAAACCAATTGTCGGATGGACACACTCTAGATGGACTGTGATCACACATCAGGTTGGTGACGACTACTGAAGAAGAAATCCATCGTTCAGAAAGAAGTACCTGTGACTGATGCCATGTATAAGAAACCCTGTACATAGCTTCATACTATGTCCAAATTATTGCATTTAAAAAACATGTGTATTTTCAGATTACTTACTTACAGTTTTGACATGTTCACTGAAGAAAAAGAAATGTCAAAACTGTAAGTAAGGCAAGGGGGCTGAGGATGTGGCTCAAGTGGTAGCGCGCTTGCCTGGCATGCACGTGGTGCTGAGTTTGATCCTCGGCACCACATACAAATAAAGATGTATGTCTGCTGAAAACTAAAAAATAAATATTATAAAGTTCTCTCTAAAAAAAAAAACTGTAAGGCAAGGGCTGGGGATGTGGCTCAAGCGGTAGCGTGCTCGCCTGGCATGCACAGGGCACTGGGTTTGATCCTCAGCACCACATAAAAATAAAGACGTTGTGTCCACTGAAAACTAAAAAATATTTTAAAATTCCCTCTCTCTCTTAAAAAAAAAAAAAACTAAGGCAAGAAGAAAACCAGCAAGGGAGGTGAGGTCTCACTCAATGGAACATTTCTGGCTCACTGAAGGTATTCTGAGTTAAAAACACTGTTTTCACACATAAACTATCAGTAACCCTTTTCTCTACATGGGGGATTTCAAGTCACATCTGAATTTCAACCTTGGCTTTTACATTTATTATATATGCCAGATATGATCTCAGCAGTATCAGGAAAGACCATACCTATCGTGTAGACCAGTGTTTCTCAAACTTTGCTGCATATTGGGGTCACCCGGGGAGCTCTGAAAAATTCATGACCTAACCCCACCCCAGACCATGGCTTCTGACATTTGTGGTTCTTAATGCTCCCCGGGATGTCCATCGCCACACTCAGGGCAACGCTAACGTGCGGAATTGAGAACCACCGTGATGGACTGTGACAACAAACCAGACCTCCCGGTGCCCAGGTTCTCGGTGAGCTCCCTCCCAGACCCTGCATTTGGCTACGACTTGCTGACTGATAGCTGCATGGAGAAGAACCCTGGAGGACAAGCCTTCCAGGACTTGCCGGCCCTCGGGCTAGCCAGTGCAGCCACACCAGTGAAATAAACCACAAGAACCATCCAACCGAGCTGTCCACCCACAGAACTGAGATCACGAATGCTTTAAGCCGCTATTTTGCAGGAGCTCAATGTGCGGATAATTACAAGATTCATCTTACCACCTCATGGACAAAGGTTTTCACAGCACACAACGGACCCAGGCTAACGGGCAGGGCCTGAGACTGACTCTTCTCCAGGCATTGGGAGTCAATAAGAAAGGAAAGGAGCCAGTCAGTGCTAATGGGACTCCAGGCTGCACACCCTTAGTTCAAATGCTCTAAAATACAAAACTCTTGTGAGCTCTGACATCAAGTGAAAAATTCCACACCATCAAACTGTTTCATGCACAAAATTGTTAGAAATAGGGCTGGGGTTGCAGCTCAGTGGCAGAGCGCTTGCTTCACACACGAGGCACTGTTGGATCGTCAGCACCACATAAAAAATGAAATATGTTGTGTCCATGTAAAATTAAAAAAAGTTTTTTAAAAATTGTTAGAAATATTTAAAATTACCCTTAGGCTACACGTATAGGGTGTATATGAAACAATGAATTGTATTAGATACTGCAAGATACTTCATTATTTTTATGCAAATATTCCCAAATCCCAAAAATTCCGGCCCCAGGCATTTGGGATAAGGGACACCCAACCTGCATGTCCTCTTTCTTAGATACAAACCACAGGTAGAAACCAATGTGTGTTCTACTTTTTTCCATTGAGAGATAGTTTGCACCACACACATCCTTCAGGTGCGGCGCTTCTATGGTAACGGATCTATAATTGAGACCCTCAGACTTCCATTTTAATAGCGGTTCTGCTTTATTCTGTAGTTTACATGCTGCCATTTTATCCTCCTGTGGTGCACGCAGACCTTCCGAGCCTCGAGCTCTTCAGCCTTCGGACCTGGGCCCTGCTGCTCCTCTGCACCTGTCTCTCTGGGCTGGGCTCTGCCCTGGTTGGTCCCCCATGAGGGTCCGAGGTCAGGAACCAGAGGCTCCATGTGACATGCCGCCTCTGAATATACACATGGAGCTCCGGGATGAGGGCTGTGTGCGAGACTGTGCCCGGATTCCATTAGAGAGAGCGCTGCAGCCAATCAGCAACGTCTGCCAAGGCAACACCATCAGATGCGTCCAGAAAGCATTCACTGGGGGGAGAGACTGAAAATAGGCCACCGGCTTAAAAGGGGACAAGGCACACATTCATGTCCATCCCTGCCCTGGGTGGCTGCTCTGCTACCGGGCTGCATGGCATCAGGTGGCCGGGGAGGCATCCTGAAGGCCACAAGGCTGCACAGGGCTCCTCAGTGCCTGGGCGGAAGAATGTAAGTCCCCAGTCAGAGCAGCCCGGGTGGGTCTGCAGGGTCTGCGTGGTGCGGGCCAGGCCAGGTCAGCTTCTCGTCCTCTGCAGTCCAGCTCATCCAGGCAAAGACAGCTGGCTGGCCTCAGAGTGTCAGATGCCACTCTCAAAACTTTACACGACACTCATACAGTGAGTCTGAGGTTAGCATCTCCAGAACTTTCCAATTCAAACTAAAAAGGGTTACTGTCAATGTGCTACCAAAAAGACCAAAGTTAAATAAAAGGGCAGTCTTACTTTAATCAAGTTCTAGATTGAGGGGACAGAGTTTTGAAAAGCACTGTGTCAGCAGAAGAGGCATGGGTATAAAAGAATGTTTCCGGAAAATACCAAAGCAACCAAACAATCCTGACTTTGTCTTCTGCTCTCCCTCGATGCTCCTCCACAGCCAGGGCCAGGATCTACTTGGTCCAGCTGACTTTGGGGATATCATAATGCTCTGTGAGGGTGTCCAGGTGCCTGTTGAAGTCCTAGGAAGCGAAGGAGAAGGTCTGCATCAGCACAGGCCCAGCCAGGGCACTAGGGACTCATGGCACTGCCCAGCCCCACCTCTCCTATGTCCTGTCTCTGCCCAGCAAGCCCCTCCTCACACCCACCCTGCAAGCCTTACAACCCCTGTACACGGGGCTCTCTCTAAAGGAGCCATGGGAAGTGCCATTCTTGTTGAGTAAACCTCTCCCCCACCAGCATTCCAATAGCTCCCATAGACTCTGGGCCAAGCTGGGACCCTAAACGGCTCAGTCTCCCCACACCGGGCACCTGACTCACCTCCACTCTCTGCTTATGGGTTTTGGATGCTTTTTTCAGGATCCTCTCCATTTGCTGGAAGAGAAGAGACAGGGAGGTGACTCTGCATGCCCAACACGGCCCAGCCAGCCTGGTCTCCCTTCTAGAACAGCCAGATGCCTCAGGATGCACACCCTGTCCCTCCCCTCAATCCACTCAGGCTAGTCCAACAGAGAACCTGGCTCAGTCACCTTTGGTCCTAGCTTCCTGAGTGGGAGGAAATGAACCAGCACCAACTGAGCATGAGCAGACTCTGCTGAAAGCTGGACACGTGCTTCCTGCACCCTTGGGCAGAGGACAGCACTGCAGCTTGCAGAAGAGCAAGTCCC